AAAAATCCAAAATAATTTGATCTTAATTTAGTAGCGGTACGACATAACATGATCTATGCACAAATTGGCTATAAACCCATTAGATAGCTACAAGATTCTTAATTCATGAGAAACATTATTTATCGTTCATGAATGTTATATAGGATGTTTTTGATTTATAATTAATTAGGATATATAAATTAATTAGGTATCAAAGTATTATTAACCCTAAAACATTAAAAAAGAAGTTAAATAGGATCCTTTTGAATCATCAAAATGAGAAATACATATATTATCTACTAATTTATTCAAATATTCCTTATGTCATGAAACTAGATTATTTCACTAAATAAAAGTATATATATATATATATATATATATGGTATATTAGTTAATACCATTTTTCAAGGAAATGAGAAACACATATATTATCAACTAATTTATTCAAATATTCCTTATGTCATGAAACTAGATTATTTCACAAAATAAAAGTATATATATATATATATATATGGTATATTAGTTAATACCATTTTTCAAGGAAATGATAGCAAAAGAAAACTACTAAGTGATCACGTATATAGTAAATTAAATATTGAAAAGTGGAGTAGAAGGAATATATATATATATGTATATTTATCTCGTAAATCAAGGTTTAATGTTTATTTATTTTGGCTTTTTTCTTGTACTACTTCTGATATTCTCTTCTTTATCCCTTTGGAATTAATATTGTTCATTCATTGGTTGTAGTTCCTATTATTTATAAACACTAACAATATGTATATACGTATAGAATGAGATAGCATGTTCAAGAAATTTCGATCCTCAAAAGAAGCATTGCACGATGGAGAGATAAAACATGCATGCACCTTTAACTGGTTTTTTTTTTATGTGATCATTCACCACCATGGTATGTATTATATATATATATATATGTGGGTATAATACGTACACATTATAGTATAAGCGGATATATATATATACACACACACACATACACACACACACCAAGCTACCTAGTTAATTAATGAAGTGATCATGGGAAAAGCAATTGGCTTTAGTTTCTAATTGGCACTTGGCATCTAATTTTGAGCCGCCTTGATGGTCCCCTATCTTCAACAAAGTTTCTGGCTTCTTTTTTATTGTTTAAACATTCATTATTCATTATATAACTATTCTTCTCTAACGTTATGCTCTCCTGAAGGTTCTGGTAGTATGCATGTGTATATATATATACACATATATATACGTATTAATTAATTAATTAATTAAACTGCTCATTCATTCACTGTCTACAGACAGAAAAGCAGGATGAACTTCCATTTCACTACTTAGCAGAAGCATCTAGAGAAAGGCTGGAATCAAATATGATATTTTTCTAAGGATATATATATATATATGATTTTACTAGAACTGAAGCATTCTTATTTGGTCGAATGTGTTAAACATCAATCAGTGATTTCACGTGTAGAAAGAACAAATGGCAATGACAAAGTAAACTTTTTACATCGTTTTATTTTACATGTGTATATAGACCTGTATATAAACGTGTTTGTATGTGTGTATATATATATATATATATATATATATCCGTACATATATATTGATAACTCATGCTACAGGAGTTGATATCTGCAAATAATAGTACGTGGGCTGGGAAAATGGAAAGTAAATGAGCAGAAATTACTTATTACTTTTGTATTTATCCAAACTCCAAGAAAACATGAGCTTATTACATGTGGATACAAAAGAAAACAGCAGGAAAGTAAGAAACAACAAAACATGAACAAGCTTCTTGTTCATAGTACTTCGTAGATGCATAGTTATAGGTGGTGTATAAGAGGAAGTTGACACAGTACAGCCAAGTAAATAAATCCTGTTTGATTATAATATAAAAAATTATATGATTATAAGTTAAGTACTGACTTTATAGATATATAACTATGGGAAGAACTACGTTACCAAATAATGATTAGAAATTAATTTGATATTATGTTAAAACATCTACATATATGAACTAGCAATCATATAAATAGTTCGAGTTATGAGATGAGATAAAAATATAGTTAACTTTGATATTATGTTATGTTGTAAATTTAGAATTATATAACTATAAATGTAAGAATACATAGATTAAGGTAAAATATATAAGATATTACTTGATTGATGTTGAATAAACATCTCTTGATAAAAACCAAGGAAGAAAATTAATGTGTATTAATAATTATATAAGTTTCAAAAGAAAAAATATATATATATATATATATATATAATTATGGCTACGAAAATGAAAAATGAATGCTCTTAACCCCGAAATTTATGAAAAAATTTCAATATGCAAATTAAACATAAAATCGCTATTCTTATTTTAAGTTTTTGTATATTTTATTTTTTTATTGACGTGGATAACGAATTATCTTTCTTTTAAAATTTATAATTCATTATTTATTTATTTTTATATATTATAGAATATGAAATTATCTTAATTCACAAGAACAAACCTATCATAATGAAAAACGACCATTGCTATAGATTATACTTCTATTAGTATGAGTTTTTTGATCCTATACAAACCGAAGCCTTTTTTATTTGTCCATTTATTCTTTCAAAACAACTTGGAAAAGTGGTCGGTATAACTATTTGAGCTTTCTCCGCCAAAAGGTTTTTTTTCTGTTCTAACAAAATTCTATTTGTCTAAGTATTTTTATACCAACGATTAGGTCGATACTTGCTTTTCAATGCCTAAAATTTATGTATTCTATATAGTTTTATTATCAAATAAATTATTCCAAATCTATATATTATATTTACATATAAATTAAATTATAAATATAATTAGTCTAATATTTACATATTTATTGACAAATTTTTAAAATTTATTTTCATATAAATAAAAAAAAAGTTGGATCCAAGCCCATTTTGCCCTCCATATCAACCCAACCCCTTAGACTTCCAAGCCCATTTAGCCCATACCCAACAGCTCAGTCCCTATATATATATATATATGTATAT